TGTGTGTGTGTGTGTGTGCGTGTGTATAAATTGCTCCATGTATTTGTTTTACATGCTTACGTAAATGTTCATTAGCAGCAGAATAATGGGTCAGTAAATCGTTGGTTACAGACGTGAGAGGAAATTAAGTTAGTGACAACGTGTATGTAGACTGTGTGTGTGCATGTGTGTGCATGTGTGTGTGTGTGTGTGTGTGTGTGTGTGTGTTAGGTAAACAGCTGACACGCCCTGCAGAACTAAAGATAGAACAGGTCACTTCATGAGGGAATTATTGTGGAGCTATTGTTCGTGGATGAAAAAGGGAACTTGGACTTTCCACCTTTTCCTCATTGAGCCGCTCAACACCTGCTCAGGTGGAGAAGAACGAGGACTTTCCCCGACAGGAAAGTTACACCAGGACAGATGTTGTTCCCTCTGACGGCAGCGTGTTGTGACTGGGTGTGTTCGTCTCGACACCTCCTCAAGCACCGAGATTCTTCTCACGGTCGTCTGGTATCTGAGTGTTCTCATGTAACTGAGGCCTCGTTCACACCTGGTCCAGTTCAGCTCAGTCTGGAGCTGAACATCAGGTGTGAAAGGTTCCTCAGACCAGAAGAGGAGTTCTGGGTCTGGATCAAACTGAACCATATCACCGAGAGCTCTGGAATCTCAACGTCTTTCCAATGTTTGAAGAGTTGAGACCTTCTGACCAGGAAGTGGAGACAACACTAAACAATAAAAGAAGCTGAAGTGAATTATTGATTACTTCCACTTCCCTTTTGTCAAAGTCGATGGTTTTGTGAAGCTGTTGAATCAAGGGTGTGTTTAATACAAACTGAAAACCTTGTTTCATTCTCCGAGACAAAAACACATCAGTCAGTGTCATTTTGTGACTTTTTAAAAAGTGTCTTTAAAAAAAGATGGTTGCTGTAAACGAGTAAATGACATTGAGTCTGTCCTACAAGTCACAGAGACGAGGGGGGGGCGGCTCGTTTTCAGGTCCGATCAGATGAACAGCTGCTGGACAAGAGGACACGGGTGAGTTCCACAAAGACACGAAGAACACCGTCGTCCATCTTTGTTCACAGGTCAGGGTCCAGCTGTCCGTTAGCATCTCAGCTAATTATAACAGCTGTTTGTTTTTTATCTTTTCATGATTCACGTCAAACATTTGACTCAGAAATAAAACTCGAGAAACTCGGACACGACATTTCTTTAAAATCTTTGAGTCCAGATGTTTCACTGAGCAGATGTTCACATCAGCTTCAGGATCCTGAACTAAAACCTGCAGCAGGTTTGTTTTCTGGTGCTTCAGCGACCTCTGCTGGTCACCCACGGACACAACAGCTGTTCGCCTCAGTATTGATATAATTATTATCAATATCTGATCTT